TGCTACTTCAAACAGTTTTGCTCCGCCTTCCCTGATACCGACGGCTTCTTCGGGTCCAGAGGGTGAGGTGACACAACTGGACACTCCGCTGCACAGTCTGTCCACTCTCCCTGTCCCAGCGTGACAATCTGGCATGTGTTTCAGGCCCTTCCTGTCCTTCTGTCCGGTCAGCGGCTCGTTTGAAGCCAACCCGCCGTTCTGCGAGGAGCTAATGGATGCCATGGTGACGCACTTTGAGGTCAGTACTAGTCTCTGATCCGGCCTCTGAAACGGACTGTGATCCAGGGTTTCTGATCCGGTCTCCTGTCTTTCTCAGGACCTGTTGGACCAGTCCTCGGAGCCTCTGTCGTTCATCGTGTTCGTGCCTGAGTGGCGTGACCCCGTGACTCCAGCTCTGACTCGCATGGAAGGAAGTCGATTCCTGCGTCATCAACTCAGCATTCCCGCCTACGAGCATGAGTACCGATCAGGGAGTCAGCACATCTGCAAAAGGTACTCGCACTACAGTGCTGTAGTACTACTGTAATACTAATATTGTGTACACTGAATTACTGATTGATTGTAGTAGCCTAATACTCTGATTACTTTATGTATTATCAGGGATGAGATGTACTACCGGGCTGTACACGGTACTGCAGTTCTCTTCCTGCAGAACGACGCCGGCTTTGCGAAGTGGGCGCCTACTCCAGAGCGTCTGGCCGAGCTGACAGCAGCGTACCGCGCCTCTTCCACCCGCATTTCCTCCTTGTCGTCCCCTGGCCCTGCCCACATCTCTCCTGGAGATAGAGACTCCGCCCCCAAAACATCTGATAGGACACAGAGTAACGTATTGTCACCCAGTGGCCACGACGACAACAACAACAACAACAACAACAGCAGCAGCAGCAGCGGTGATAGTGGCAGCAGCAGCAGCAGTCCTCGAGACAAAGTGTCCACCGTGTAGGCGGGGCTTGTGGAGGCCACGCCCTTTCGCCTGTTGGACAGTTGTTTCAAGTTTTGTTTTCTGACTTGTCTCGTTCAGATTGTCCTTCACCAGCACCTGTAGCAAATGTTTATCCATAATGCCACATGCCACCAGGGGGTGGGCGAAGCCTGAATTAGCCCCACCCTCTGCTGGCTTTAACCCCGCTCTGTTGTGATTGGTCAAAGCTCTGGAGCTTTTTTATTTTTAAATTTTTTTTTTAAAACTTGCAGCTGATTCTTGTTCAGCTGTGGCTTCTGTTGTTCAGCAACAAACATCACAGCCAATCAGTGAGCAGCGACTTCGAGCTCCAGCAATAACCCCCCCCCCACCTGTAATGTCACTTGTGACCACGGAGGACTCTGGTCCCCGCACCCATAGGGCTTTCTGATTGGTCAATAAGGCAGCTACTGTTTCTATTGGACAGATCTTTGTTTTTCTGGGGTTTGATTTTGTTTTTTTGTTTTTTTCAGTCCTGCTTCTGGTCCCGCCTACTTATAATGGCCCGGCCAGTCAGTGTGGGGAAATGGACTACTCATGAGGTGGAGGAGGTGGAGGATTAACAGTTAGGTGGGAGGAGGTGGAGTCAGATTCAGACTGTTGCTCGGAGACAGACGCCTTAGAGTGCGGGGTCACTGACGCTGAGGGGGCGGGGTCTCATGTAATCAAACTGACAGACATTTGTGTGAACACGACAGTTTTTTGTCATTAACGTCTTTTTTTTCGGGTTCATCAAACGTTTGTCAGAAAAATTAAAGCTTTTTTTAATTTAAACTTTTGGGAGTTTTCTTTGCATTTTTATTTTATTTTTAAGTGTTTCAAACATTTTTTCCCTCTTTTCTGCTCTCTGGCTCCTCCCACTCAGTAACCTGACACTACAACAAATGTTTGTTCTGGGATTGGCTGGCTGTGGCCCAATGAGGCGTCTGTTTCCAGGGCTGGCAGCAGTGTATATAGTGTATAGCCTGTTGATGTTTTAATTTAAAGCGACGGTGTGAAACCAAAGCGACAAAGCTGCGATAGACAGACTCCTCCTCCTCACATCGTCTTCATCATCATCCGCTGTGCGTGAACTATTTCAAAGATGTTCCTGACCCTCAGAGCGTGCGCTGCCATTCTTACGTTCCTCTTCCCGTTCAGCACGAGGTCATGTGTTCAGGTGTTTCGTGCCGCTGCAGCTTCACTTGTTTGGTCACGTTAAGAATGTTTGTCACGGCTTCGACATGTGACAGTAATGTAAAGCACCGCAGGACGCCACTCTGGATGTGTTATTGGCATCAAACCCTGACATGAACTGTCTTAGTCACCGTTGTGTGATGGCGTGCATTTAAATGCTGCCCTCGCCATCACACAAAGGTCACTATGAAACTTTTTGCAGTTTTCTTGGCGAGCCGAAGCGCTCACAGAGATGCCATCATAATCTGTCTCCACGGGAACAAATGCACCAGGAGAAACGTGACGCAGGACGCGATGGAACAGCGGATTTTTACACGTGAACGTAATTGTCGTTGTGACACTCGCTCACATGTAAGGATTAACGCGCGTGTGGTGGATTAACTCCGAACCAGGAGTGTGCACGTGAGCCGAGCACTGGTTCTTTGATGTCACAGTGAATACTGAGCTGTGATTGGCTGCTCTAGCAGCAGCAGTGAAACGCGCACATGATGCTCCGGTGATGCAATCAGAGGCTCATCCACTGGGCCCGCCTCCATAGGTGTGTGTCCTGGTCATAGCTGCGTCCATGTGCCCAGTTACTTGTGCACAAACTCCAGGTGTTTGTCAGAGGGCGGAGCTAGAAGTGCTGATAGCTTAGCATAGCACAAAGTCGCTAATGTTGCAGCTGCAGACGTCTCACTTCATCTGACTCACCTGCTGGGTTCACTCCTCTTTGACTGTCTGTGATGTAGACACCTTGCTGGAGGCGGCGGCTCGCCAGACCCTGGCTGTAAACAGGAAGTGGTCCATCTTGTTTGTTGGCCCCTCTGCAGATTGTAAATAGTGTCTGTACTCCAGTAAAATCTGAAACCAGTAAAACCAGTGCTGTTCCTCTTTCTGCTACAGTCACATGACCTCACACAGTCACACCAATGTAAATGTTTGTCATCTACAGTAAGACCATCTGCAAGTATTTGTCGTTTCTGTGTGATGACAGTTTAAACAGACTTCACGTTAGTCAGTTTTCAGTATTACACTCTCACCTGTGACGTCACCCTGGAGTCTGCCTGCCAGGGTCCATCACCATGAACAGAACAGAATAAAATAGTGGGTTTTCTCTGAGAACACGGTTGGTGCACACAGTAATGACATTCTGATGCATTTATTCTTCGTCAGACTGCACAGCAAAACAAACTGCAGTAATCGTCTGAGTCACAGCTGAGATGCTTTCCTATCCTAGCCTCCTATCTTCCTATACCTGCTGACAGCACACCTGTCCACGTTTATGATTTGTCCTAAGCTCCGCCTCCTTTGAGTGAATGAGCTGAATGACCAGAAATCCTGAAATTCATAGCGCAAGGCCCAGGACCCGAGGAACAGGTGAGGATAAGCTGATGACCCACCTTCTCTAGAGAAGCTTCTGACTGAAAACGCTGCTGAGGCTGCTCGGCATCGATCCCGCGGACCTGACATCACGTGTAGCACCTGTTCCGTTCACAGCCGTTACACACTTTTACAGCTCGTGCACTTGCATTAAAGCGGTGTTCAGTGATATGACGACATCTAATTTTAGAATTTGTATAATTTTTAACATTTAGTATAATTTTAGTATTAATATTTTATAGTAGTTTTACATAATATGTTTGGTGCCTGTCAGTATTTATCTCCTTTTTACATTGTGCTCAGTATGAAGTTAGTGAGTCACGTGCTGACAGCGATCAGGTTTGTACCTTTCATTGTGTGCCTTATGGCATTCACACTATTGTGTTCCTGTTTCTCTTTAAACTTTATTATTCTACCTTATTCTAGTTGCGCCGTTTCTCTGCTGCTTAACTACTCCCTCAGTTTTCATCCAGTTTTCACCATTCAAAATTTAAACATCTGCTGATTCTGCTAATGCCAGATATATCTTTTGGTGCTCATAGCTTTTATACCTTTTGAAATATTAAGCTTTTTATGCCATTTTTTGGCCCATTTTGATCAATGGGACCATTCTCAGCTCTTCAGCAAAAATGTCAGCTCCTTCACTTTCAGCAGAAAGTTCAGCTTTTTCCACCTCTTTTCAATACAAGCCTCTTCTGCTCCGGTTTGGCTCAGTGAGATGAGTAGCCGCCTTAAGACCAGGGGGCGCAGGTTCGAATCCTACCTGTGTCTGATGCCCCACATCTCCTCTTGCACTTACTCTTCCCTTTTAAATAAAGCAGGTTTAAGCAAAGAGATAAGCTTCTACACCTCTTTTCAGCAGATAGTTCTGCTTCTGCTTTTTTCAGAGTCCACTACACGGCATTCACACTGCATTTTCACAGGAAATGCAACTTTTTCTATTTTTTTTTTAAACAGGCACACCTGTTCAGGGCTGAACGTTGCCACTGATTTCTATAACTGATTCGATTCAGTCAGTCACAAGTATTCTAATTCTGATCATTTATCAGTACATATTTTTATATCTGTGTATAAAACAAAGCTGACACTGTGCTTCAACAGAGGTGTGAGCATCACAGCAGAGGCCTTTGTGTCAAAGTAACTGAGGATAAAACAAAAAACAGGAAGCAGAAACCTGGCCTGACTTCTTATAGATAACCTTACAAATACAAATAACCTTAAAAATATTCTGCCGTAGATCAAAAACTGAAGAAAACCATGAATCAACATGTGAACATTACCTGATGCTGCTGAAGGGAAGCAGAGCACACTGAGAGACAGAGCTGCGCAGGAAGTTTGATTTTGTCTTGGAGGAAAGTCAGAGAAAACGTGTGACGATGTTTATCCGATATGACATTAGTCAAACTCAAATCGATTTGAATGGGGAAATCGATTTTTTAAACCCACCTCTACACCTGTCTGCACAGGTGACCTCCTTACGATCACAAATCCTCCGGAAGTCAGTGCTTTTATTGTGAAGCGGTGACAGGAAGTGCGGTTGTATTCGGTTTTGCCGGAAGTGGAAGAAGCAGCAGCGAAGTTTCCGGGAAACAGACAATAAACAGGCAAAGTGGTAGCCACGTATCGATTATTGTTTGCTGAGTATCAGTTGATCGTCGGTCAGCTCGGGGCAGTAACCGTAAACACCTTTTTACGGACCCGGATCGGAACAGATGGGGGCGCACCGCAGTGACGGAGGCCGGGACTGGCTGCAGCAGGACGGGCCGGAGCAGCCGGACCACCCGGAGCAGAGCCCGGTGAGGCCGCGAGCCACCGCACAAACATCCGGTCACACGACACCGTGAATATTTTTTTCATGAAAGCTGGTGACGTCACAGTCACGGAATAAACCTAAACACGGTGGTGGGGGTAACTCCAGGAAATAGACGGAGCCCCGGCCCCCGCTTTTTGGTGTGTTTTTGTCAGAGTTGGCTCTCAGGTGGTTTGAGTCACGTGTCTGTTGTCAGGATAAGCCAAACACCTGCTCAGTTGAAAGTAATCCATTACTCTATAGGCAGCAATCTTTTACTATATGTTAATGTTTGTCGGGAAACACAGGTGCGCTTCACCTGAACACCTGCACACTCTGTTTTCTAAATAACGTTGGGTTGAAAATGTCCTGGTGTGCTCTTACCTGTTCACACGTCATACAGTTACACTCATCTGTGTGTGTGTGTGTGTGTGTGTAGAAGCCGTGGAACTTGATGATCAAACACAGACAGATCCAAAGACGAGGACGGCGCTCTCACATGATGGTCAGGTAAGTGGACCGTTGGATCTGATTGGCTCGTACTTCCTGTGATGGTTGTGGCTCTGTACTATGACGAGAGTGCAACATCCAGGATATGTTTCTGTTGGCTGGATCAACGTACCCTGAGTTTGGCGATCAGGATTGGAGGTCACACGAAGCTGGTTATCACCGCCCTAAGTTCACAGAGGGTTTCTCCTGCACGTTCACATGAAAGAGGCGGGTTTTTTGTGATTTTGACCAATCGCAAACTGGCATTTCATGTCTCACATCACTGTTCCTCCACAGAAAACGATCCCCATGAGCGCCATATCAGTAAAATGCAAATGAGACAGTTGTTCAGTCTTTTGTCGCACACAGTAAAAATCTTGCTTCTAGTTAATAGTTTTGTCACTGAGCGCGCTCACACTGCTGTCTGTGTGTAAGGTGGCGGCTGCACATTAAAGCTTCCTGTCCCACAGCCCGATGGAGGAAACAATGCAACGCAGGGTTTGTGCTTCATTCGGTTGGTTTATTAAAGTACGGCCTCTCGTGAATAACAGAACGAGTGGAAACGTCCCGCGCTCCTGACAGCGGTAGTTTTTGCTGCTGTGTATGGCGTAATACAAATCTGACCTGGGGTCAGCTGGTGCAGTACAGCTGTGCTGTTTCAGGATCACATATTAATGCTCGAAGACCAAAACTGTTAACTGCCAACAGAAAACAATCAAGAACTGAAGCTGAGGTGATTTATCATTGGTTACTGATGGTCGTCAGGGAAACACAAAGACATTGTTGTTAAAATCCTTAGACCCCTCCCACTGTCACCGCAGCCGTCCGAGGCATCTTCCAAAGGATGCTGACACTATTTTCTGGAGCGCTCGTTGATCAGTAGGAAGTGATGTCGTACTTGTTGATCTCTGATCTGGATCTTAACCTGCTCTGGAGCAGGTGAGGTTCACAGTGTTAGTTACCATGGTGATGAAAACCAGGGGTAACCACCTGGATAAGCCAGGCTTCGTAGCGCAGACCTCTGAGCTCACAGGACGGGAAACGTAAACGCAGCCATTCAGTTTGTTTTTAAAAAACTTTATCAACAACACTCAGACAACAGGAGTCCAGGTGTGTCAGGGTTTCACCTTGAGCAGGACGTAGAGACAGACCTGCTCATCTGTCCTCACCTGTCTGTGCAGCTACACGGACCCTCAGGTGTCCATGGACCTGCTGCGTGCCGTGCTCCAGCCCAGCTTCAACCAAGACATCATGGCCGTGTTCAGTAAATATCAGAAGGTTAGCAGTCGCACTAAAAGGGGAGGGGGTGGAGTTATTTGGTTTGACCTGTGCAGGGGTTCGAGCAAGTGTGTTTGTGTTGCAGTTCTTTGAGAAGGCGGCAGAGAATGTGAAGGAGAACGTTGGAGACGACATTCAGACTGATCACCTGATCAAGGAGGCGTGCAGGAACGTCCTCGAACACGTGAGGCATTCTGATGCTCATGAGACCACCTGAACTCACCTGACAGGTGTACCTGTGAAGCCGGATTAGCTGTGTTGAGTGTAAAGCCTGATCTGTTTCCCTATGATTTCATCTCCAGGCCAAGCAGCTGTTTCCGGAGGCTGAGGTGAAGAGGGCGGTACCAGAGGCAATGATGAAGGTAGGTGTAGGAGCAGGCAGCTTACCTGGGAAGGTAGTCCCGTGCCTCACCTGTTTGTTTCCCGCAGAGGCAACGAGTTGCTGATGACGACTGCAGCCAGAGAGGAAGCCCGCTGCACAAGAAGGTAACTCCACCCCCCCCAACACACACACTCACACACGAGTGCGATCACTGACTCTGATCACTTCCTGTCCTTAGAGAAAGATGCGTCCAGGTCCCGTGGCCTCATCTGATCGACCTCTGACCTTCTCTGTGTGAGTATCTAATAGGTGACATCATCATCAGTGCACAGGTAGATGAACACACCTGACCGATGTCCATCTGTGTCCTCAGGGTGAAGCCCAAGTCTGAGCCCATCAAGAAGGAGGGGCCCAAGGTGAGTGGTTACTTGAACTGACAGGTGAACTGAACTGAAATAAATGTCTTCATCATCATCATCAGACCCAATAACACGGTGGCAGTGACCCAGTGTGACCCGATGGGGGCGCTGTGCTCTAGAGCGTTGCCTTCATGTCGGGGGTGTAAAGTCGCCGCTGTGATGATGTCACAGTGACGCTGTCTGTGTTTCAGTGGGATCCGTCCAGACTCAGCGACAGCAGCACGTTCGTGCTCGGGTCAAGAGCCAACAAGTGAGTCCGCAGCAGCAACGCCAACAGGAAACGGCGTTCACACAACACTTAAACATTTAAATGACACGTAAACCTCCACATAACAGCGATACAACGTTAAAATAACAAACATCTTATGTTGTGATGTCACTGCAGGGCGCTCGGAATGGGTGGGACCAGAGGACGAATCTACATCAAACACGCCGACCTGTTCAAGGTAAAATGCTGCATGACGTAACAGGAATCTGACATCTGCATCCATCTTTGGTATACAGTCTGTGGTCTGAAAGCCATGCTGAGTCTGCCTCACCTGTGTGTGTGTGTGTGTGTGTGTGTGTGTGTGTGTGTGTGTGTGTGTGTGTGTCAGTACCAGCTGTGAAGGAACAGTCATGGACCACAGGACATGTCCTTCAACGCACATATTAAACAAATATGTAAGACTGCTTTCTTCCATTTGTGCAACATCTCTAAAGTTAGAAATATCCTGTCTCAGAGTGACGCTGAAAAACTAGTTCATGCATTTATTACTTCCAGGCTGGACGACTGTAATTCATTATTATCAGGAAGTCCTAAAAACTCCCTGAAAAGCCTTCAGCTGATCCAAAATGCTGCAGCAAGAGTCCTGACAGGGACTAGAAAGAGAGAGCAGATTTCTCCTGTTTTGGCTTCCTGTTAAATCCAGAATTCAAAATCCTGCTCCTCACATACAAGGTCTTAAATAATCAGGCCCCATCTTATCTTAATGACCTTGTAGTACCATATCACCCTATTAGAGCACTTCGCTCTCGCTCTGCAGGCCTACTTGTTGTTCCTAGAGTATTTAAAAGTAGAATGGGAGGCAGAGCCTTCAGTTTTCAGGCCCCTCTTCTGTGGAACCAGCTTCCAGTTTGGATTCAGGAGACAGACACTATCTCTACTTTCAAGATTAGGCTTCAAACTTTCCTTTTTGCTAAAGCATATAGTTAGGGTTATATGCTAACTCACTTCCTGTGTCTTGCTCAGGCCTACCTGCTGATAGAGGAGGACATCCAAGATCTGTCCCGCAGCGATGAGTACCGGTAAGTGCGTCACCTCCTGCCTCCTGCTCTCAAGAACTTTGCTCAATGGTGAAGTAAAGATGTGAAGGAGACCTGATGACGACTTTCAGCCCTTTCCGGCTTGTTCTGTCACGGCCCCGTTTTGGGGTTTTTTATTAGGTGGTAGTAGTTGGTACCAGGGGCTTTTTTAAATTTTATTTTAAGTACGTGCGATGAGAAAATGTGACATCAACAGACTGCATGTCACTGATTGGCTAGTTGGTGCCATCACTTGAAGAGTCATGGGGGCATGTCCTTCACACAAATCAAAAACACCGTATTTAAAACCCGGCAACGAGGGAAACGTTGCACAAACCAACAGGAGACTCCTGATTTCTGCAGGTCAGGGACAGGTGTGTCAGGGTCTGGTTGCCTTGGTAAGTCTTTAATTGGTAGATTCTTCAGTTGCTCACTTGGAAGTTCAGTTAGGGCTGGATCAGGTGACCCTGAATCCTCCCTTAGTTATGCTGCAATAGTGTTTCTTCTTCACTCACTATGTGTTAACAGACCTCTGCACTGAATCATACTTGTTATTAATCTTCCACATAGAGCAGGGCGATATGGCCAAAAATATTTATCACAATATACGTTTGAAAATTTGCGATAACGATATAATTGACACGAGACAAAATACTTTACAACTCCTCAACTTTATTAGTGCAAAACAACATCAATGTATTTCCACTTCAACAAGCAGCTGTTTATGTGCATTAAAGTTATATAAACATTTAACAGTGCAAATTCCTCACTGACAGTTTAACCAAAAGGCATTTCAGTGGAAACTGGCCGACACATCCTCAGCATAACCATGTATAACATCCACAACACTGAAAAAGAGGTTAAACACACACAACACGGTAACATTATGTTGAAGCACAGTACGTATCACTCCGCGAGGCTCCGCCTACGATAGCCGTAACGCTCCAACAATCCATCAAGCGGTGCGGCTTCGTAGCTTAGCAAAGTCGTACTGAAACATCTGACAGATTTTCGAGGGCCGTGCACATAAACTCGTTTCGAGGTCAGTAAACACAACCAGAGTTCATACATCAGGCACACGGGGTTATAAGGGGCTCTGTCGACTTTCAGAAAAATCAAAGGATTGATTTTAAGTGCGCCGTATTTTCCAAACAACACGGTAATAACGACGGCCCGCTAGCATGCGCTACCAAAAATAGTGCTTTGTTGTGTATCTGAGGGACGAAAGCTAAACCAGTTCCACACCAGTGACGCTGCAGCATTTTTACAAACCAGTTCAGCTTCATCTGTTTCATTCAACGATCCGCTTTCGCTCTTCTCGTTCTGCGTCACCGCCATGCTTTTTCCGCCATGTGCGTATGTAAACAAAGGCACTGCGCATGCGCGTTTTACCCATATTCTATCGCCATGTTTCATTTTCTTATCGTTGCCCAACATTACACTGTGAACGGTATGATATGACCCAGCCCTACTGCCACAGCATGTCTTTATCCTGTCTTCCTTCTCTCTGTGAGGGACCAAGCAGCCAAAGCAAAGAGGACACAGGCAAAAGAATATCTTCAGAAGGGTTTTCTTTATTTTAACCCTCAAAAAGTCCAAAAATTAACAAAATTCAAAACCATACTTAGCAGGCCCATAAAACAGGTCAACTAAATATAACTCTACAAAAAGTAATTTCCAAAAACTTAAACAACAAAATGAGACACAACTTAACTCACAAACTGACCTAATTACAAAGACACATGAGGGTAGCTTTTATAATGATTTGGCCAAACCATTTGAACACAATAGGGGGAAAACAAAACACACACTAATATTAACTGAGCACAGAATAACCTAACTAAACCTAAAACACCCCTGCTCCTGGTAAGCCCATGGTTGGTTCTGCTGAGCAGGCATTTTGTCCCCAGAGTCCTCAGCCACGCCTTTTGCCCAGACAGGAAACAGCCACCGCCCAAACCCAGGTAACTCAAAGAAAGAGAAACATAATTAATATAACAAAACATTTTAGAAAAACCATACAATGCTACTATGTGCACGCCTCATAATACCAGTGTTAGGTTTAACCAAATGATTAATGAATTATATTAATGAAGAATACTGCAAAGCAAAATAATAAAGTGAAAAATGGACTAATTTACCCCTGTGTGGCTGCTGCCATCACACTCTCACCCCAACCAATCACAGCAGATGGCCCCGCCCCTCCCTGAGCCTAGTTCTGCCGGAGGTTTCTTCCTGTTAAAAGGGAGTTTTTCCTTCCCACTGTCGCCAAAACACTCGCTCATTGGGGGGGTCAACTGATTATTGGGGCTATCTCTGTGTTATTGTAGGGTCTACCTTATGATATAAAACAGCTTAATGGCGACTGTTGTTGTTATTTGGCACTCACACCACTCTGACTGATATCAGCTGATACATATTGATCAGAGGCGCCACACTGATTTCAAACTGACACGATCGTTTTAGTTCAGTAACAAATCTGACGTGTGTGTGTGTGTGTGTGTGTGTGTGTGTGTGTGTGTGTGTGTGTGTGTGTGTGTGTGTGCGTGCGTGTCTGCGTGGTGCATTCAGGGACTGTCCGGACGTCAGGATGGACGAGCTGAAGCCGTTCTCGGTTCCTCAGTGGATGGTGGAGAAGATGCAGAGAGCCATGGAAGCTCAGAGAGACGCTGACCCCTGACCCTCACGCCCCTGGCACCCCCGTACATCTGTAGTAACCACAGATTAAATAATAGATGGCCGTATCAGAGTGCAGGACGGCGATCATGTGACCAGTTGTTTTTATTTGTACTGTTTTTAAAAATTAAAAAATGTTTGTGAGTCTTTGAGGTGATCCGTCTGTTTAAGCGGTTTAAAAACAGTTTCAAGTAACAGGAAGTTCATCAGGTCTGAGCTCAGCCTGTGTGGCCTCATGCTGTACGGCATTCACACGACACACAGAAACATTTTCACCCTCTACAACGGGAATTTCACAGGTTCAGTCAAGAAAAAAAAGCTGGACAGTCAACGAGCTCCTTGCAGGTTAAAGAGTCGTGCTGACAGATGTTTCTCTGTCACAGCAGCTTTTCTTCATCACGTAGAATAACAGTTAAATATTTGACAGTTTCACTGGTTAAGTTAAGATCAAATGGTATGAAGATATGGAAAGAGTTGGTGCAGGTTGAAGAGGTAGTTTTGAAGGACTCCAGTGATGGGCGGTGTGATGCTCGTATGGGAGAGACTTCCAGAGGGTGGGGTTCTGTCCTCAGAGGTGTAGCGGCTGGTGTGAGGGACAGAACGCACACCTGGCTGAGGCCGCAACATCTGAGACAGGTCCTGAGGGCGGGGCACTGAAAGAAGGGAGGCGTGACTTAACCAGGACCCAACGGAGATTTGTGAGGGTGGGGGTGATGTTTTTTTTCTAGGAACAAGTCCAGAAACTTGTGGCAGAGGTCGGGGGCAGGTAAAGTGAGAGAGGTGATGTTTAGGAGAGGTGGGAAGTAACTAAGTACGAATACTTTGTTACTGTTTCCGCCACCTGGATTACTGCAGTGGGTCCTGTTTGGGATTTACACCGAAGCCCTGGAGAGGCTCCAGTACGTCCAGAACTGCAACATGCACAAAGTACAAATACTTTGTTACTGCAGAGAAAAGACAAAGAGCTACGTTCACTCAGAGATGGAGGAAGATAAGAAAGAAGGACAGGAGAGGAAGAAGAGAGCTTAGATTTAAAAGTAGGATGCTCATTTAAAGCTCACATGGAAGTCCTCATGTTTCTAAATCTGTACGTGACACATGATGTTTGTTCATAAAGCTGCTGCTAAACACACGGAGGCAGACTCACTGTGTTATCTAAAGGCTGCAGTTAGTGCAGGATGAACGGGTGGGTTTGCTGCCCTGTGATGGGTTTAAAGAACAGTGTGTGACTGCTGCACAGCGGCTGTGGGTTCATGCTCACAGTTAGTGTAGCAGAGACTCATTCACTGAATTTCACCTTCAAACCAACTTTATAGTAAAGACAGCATAAACAGCGTGCTGTCAGTGTGGAGGATGGACTCAGCCAGGACGGCTCAGGAAACATCTGGATGAATCCAGGTGTGCACATCCACAGAGAGCAGCAGGTCAGCTGATGACAGCCTGCACAGTAGACATGACTGTCTGTCCCCACACTGAGACATTGCAGCTGATGGTGATGTGACTGCACACTGTTCTGTTTAGAGCCAAAGTCACGCTCTACAATGGAGGCAACAGGAAATAGAGATGTTTTTATTTTCCTTCTGATTCAAGCTTAGTATAATTACAACTTAAAAAAGAGACTAACATTTGTATTCCATCTACTGATGCACAGACTCAGCTGTGCACAGAAATAGAAACGAGCTACTTTCACTTTCTTACTTTGAGCACATTTTAGAGCTGGTACTTTAACTTTTACTGGGGTGTTTTTCACAGTAGTATCTGCATTTCTACTGTAGTACAGAGTGTGTGTAGTTTTGCCAGCTGTGATGATCAGTGAGGAGCAGAAGGAAGTTTGCAGACTCTGATGTGGAGCGAGAGCAGGAAGCAGATGGAGGTATCCTCTGGAAGAAGAAAAGTCGGTAGGAAGAGAATACATAAGAAGGAGCTGTCTGATTTATGGTACTCCCTCAGAGTGGGGTTTGTTTTTGTTTTTAACCTTTATTTATACATGCAGCCCCATTGAGAGTCATTGTCTGATTTAAAAGAGACCTGTTAACTTTCCCTGACCTCAGCTGCTTCCTGGAACAGGATCGTGGTCCTAGAAATGTTTTGGTGGAATGAAGGAAACCTTCAGCACATGAAGCTGAAAGTATAAAGGGCCCCTCCCAGTCGACTGTGGTGTTGGAGAGGGTGTAGTTGTGTACCCCATCAGTACTCTGATGGTTTCCCACAAACATAGAGAAGTCTGTGCATTATCAAACTAAAAATGAAACAGGCTGGAAGGACAAAAAACTCAGAGGTTTAAAGAATTCATTTCTAATATCTTCAGTTTAAACCAGAGGAAACATCTACGACCTCCTCTAGTGGTCTCAGGAAGCTCCCAGGAAACCCAGCTGAGTTTCTACTGATCACCTGAGGCCATCATTACCTGGTGTTTTTGGGTTTTTTACCCACACGTTGTTAGTCACTCCTCCCACCTGCTGCACAAAGTCACTGAGTGTAAACCGTCTGATTCCTGTAAATGGAGAGCCAACAAAACCAGACAAACAGCTGCAGGTAAAGCAGGAGCAACACCTGAAAGACCAGAAATTCAACGTCATTTTCGAGAAGTGAAAATGAAAGTGTGAGAGCTGCAGTCGAGTCCAGTTTGGACTTCCTGCTCTGACTGATGTTTACACATTTGGTACATCCAAAAGTACTTAAAACACCATCACTTGACCCAGCGGTCTTAGCCAATGATAGGCCCGTCTCCAACCTTCTTTTGAACTCAAAACTCTTGACAGAGTTGGTTGTAAAACAGCTAACTTACGAGGGGTCCAGGCAACAAGGCAGTGAGCTTTGAAGTATAGCTGAGAAAAACACACCAGCCTGCTAAAGATCAACAAAGAGCTTTGGCTGTCTGACCATAAACAGAAGTTCTTCTAAACGAGGACGGAAAAGAGAAGTCTCAAAATTATTTTCAAAGTCAATAAAAATCTGCTTTAGAAAAACAAATTAAAGACAAGGCAGGAAGCTATGTACTGGTTAAAGGGACCCTGGTAAATACATATATACTCCTGGGAGAGCAACAACACCTCACCAAGCAGCTGTAGAGCTGGTTTACCCGATAACACATAAAATACACCCAAGAGCGGACTATTTTTTTCTGAACACTGAACAGAGGCAAAGATTTAAAGAATGCAAGACAGGAGGATGATGATGATCAATAATCGACTTTGTGATCATATCAGCTCTATGGCCATATGTTCCTGATACTCAGGTAAAGAAAGGGCTGAGCTGTTAACTGATCTCCACCCGGTGGTGAACTTGATCAAACTCTAAAAAGTAATTCAGAGGCTTAGTAAATATCACTATAAATATAAGTTAGATGAGCCTGGTACAATCTATGAATATCCTTTTAGTAATTATTTGAGTTTGATAAGTTGAAATAATGTCTAAAAATGTTAACGTGTGTGTTTGTGTTGAATTAAGGTATTTATTTACATTTATCTCAGACAATAAATTCAGTATGTGGTTCACAGAATACCTTCTTTGCATGTGCTTAATATTTTTGTTTAAAATTGAATCAAAACATTTGAGAAACAGGCATCTATACTCATCAGTATCTTGTACTAAAATCATTAATTATTCAAATCAATATTATGTATTGTCAGCAACTACAACTGAAAAGTGTAAGTAAAACACGATAACGTAGAGTAATTGAGTACCATGAGCCTTTTTCATTGTTTTGTTCATTTGGTTTTTTAAATACTCTGAGCGTTTGTGTTTGCTCTCCTGGTTTGACATTCATCCTTCAAGTATGTGAGGCTTTGAGCTAAAAGGGGAGAGGCTCTTGTCTTTTTAGTGCTTCTTTATTGCCATGTTTATGAAACTTAAATTTTCATTTGGAAAAATGTTAACATGTGGTCATTTTTCATACATGTATTATGAAACACACAATTACATATTAGTTTGTTTGTTTTTTAGACTTAGACTACCAGTGAAATACAATAACATTCATATTTGAATGTCAGGGGGCGATCGTGGCTCAAGAGTTGGCAGTTCGTTTTGCAATCGGAAGGTTGCTGGTTCGAGCCCCGGCTTCAACAGTCTCGGTCGTCTACTGGTTTCCCACTGGTGGTGGTCAGAGGGCCCGGTGGCGAGTAGACTTTATCACAGTAGATGTCTTTCTGAAAGCGCTGTAACTAAGTTTAAGAATATAATCCACCCACTGTTATCATCTTCAATGCCCTGTACCAACATAGAGCAGAGCAGCTATCTGAACGCTACCCCAACAGAGGTCGATTATCTTGTTAATAATTTCACCTCCTCACTACGTACGACTCTGGATACTGTAGCTCCTGTAAAACTAAGGTCTCAAATCAGAAGTACCTGACTCCGTGGTATAATTCTCAAACACGTAGCCTAAAGCAGATGACTCGTAATCTGGAGAGGAAATGGCGTGTCACAAATTTAGAGGATCATCATTTAGCCTGGAGAAATAGTTTGCTGCTTTATAAGAAAGCCCTCCGCAAAGCCAGAACATCTTACTATTCATCACTGATTGAAGAAAATAAGAACAACCCCAGGTTTCTCTTCAGCTACTGTAGCCAGGCTGACAAACAGTCAGAGCTCTGTTGAGCCAACCATCCCTTTAACGATTAACTAGTAATGACTTCATGAACTTCTTCACAAATAAAATTTTATCATTAGAGAAAAAATTGACCAATAATCATCCCACAGATGTAATATTATCTACAGCTACTCTTAGTACCATTGATGTTAAGTTAGACTCTTTTTCTCCAATTGATCTTTCTGAGTTAACTTCAATAATTACTTCCTCCAAACCATCAACGTGTCTTTTAGACCCCATTCCTACAAAACTGCTCAAAGAAGTCCTGCCATTAATTAATTCTTCGATCTTAAATATGATCAACCTATCTCTAATGATCGGCTATGTACCACAGGCCTTCAAGCTAGCTGTAGTTAAACCTTTACTCAAAAAGCATCTCTAGACCCAGCAGTCTTAGCTAATTATAGGCCAATCTCCAACCTTCCTTTCATATCAAACATCCTTGAAAGAGTAGTTGTCAAACAGCTAACAGATCATCTGCAGAGGAATGGTTTATTTGAAGAGTTTCAGTCAGGTTTCAGAGCTCATCACAGCACAGAAACAGCTTTAGTGAAGGTTACA